CTCTAAGCCAGTCTGTGCTATGAGTAATATAGAGGTTATGTAAACATAGTAATCTCTAGGTTATGTTTGTGTGTGTAACAATTTCAATGTTTTTTTTATTTATGTTTAGTGCACAAAGCAACAGTCCAGACAGACTAGATTTCCTGTGCGGGGCTATCTTGAAGCCAGGATTTCTGGTAGTGAGAAGCTACAATAGAAAGAATAAAATATGAAGCCATTTTTAATGTTAGGAAATAAGGCACTTTGATAAAAAAAAAAAATCAAAATATAGGACAAAATAGGCTTTTCACAAAGGATAGTGATTTGTACATGTTGTGATGTTGTGTGCTAGAACATTTTATAGGCACTATATAGCAGCTGTTAGTGCCACCAGCCTGATTAAAAAAAAAAAATTACTGTAAAATAAAAAAAAAGAAAAGCTTACATGACTAAAAAATAATACTATTATGATAATTATAATTGATGATGTTTGAGTCTGTTTCACCCTAATATTAGCTGCCTGTTACATATCAGAACTGATGTTTTCCCCAGTAGATTATCTAATTAGGACAGTTCCTGTTCGAATATAAGCAGTTATAATCTTCATTCTGTACGTGGCAAAGATTTGGGAATGAAATGAGAGCGGTGTCCTTCAGCTAAGAACAAAGTGTCATATTTTGATAAGCCTGGAGCTATGGGTGTCTCCTCATCTGCTTATTTATTTTTTAACTCTTCCCTATTATGTTATTCTTATACACTTTTCCAACGTCCACATTTGTGTGACCATTTTTTTCTATAATCTCTTTGCTGCTGTAAACACCAGAATTTACCCATTGTGGGACAATAAAGGGATATCCTATTCTATTCTATATTTTGATAAGGCTGGAGCCATGGATGTCTCCTCATCTGCAAATGTGATTGATGTAATAATGCGATGATGTGGCAGACTGGAGTTATAGAAAATGCTTCTTTAACTGTGACTGGGGGCATATGTAAGCACTACTTTCTGTAACCCTAAGTAACTTCCCAAACTGAGTAAGATCAGAGTTTTCCTTAACAAAATGCCTCTCTTACAGTAATCAGGTCCATTTCCCATAAATCATTACCATTATCTTCCTAGAATGTTGTTGCTATGGTGTAATATATAAACAAAACAAAAACAGCTTCCTTTTGCAGGAGTTACAACCTGCTTGTATTTCCTTCTTTGCTTCCCTGACAGAACCGCCACCCCCTCCGATCTGATTCTTATTCGTCATTGGTCCAAACAAATCACCCCACTGTCACTGTAGCTTTTTAATCGCATCTGCATATTTAGTTTGAACTATACGGTATGCTGCAGCAGAATCCATCTGTTATAAACCTGAGCCAGCTTCAATTATTGCTTTCATTTATTGTGTAGATACTAGTTTATCAGGGTA